TCATTCAAATCCTCACAAAGCCAGAAGAGCCCTAGACCCAAACCCTTACCCAAAGTTAATCCAAACTCGACCACGGCCACTCCAAACAGAGGCCCTCTAACCATCCACAGTCCGTTACACTCAAGAGAACACTGGGTTCATTTACTCGCCTGTCTAAGCGACAAAAAAATAGCTTTTGCTACCCCGCACATGATGGAGAACTAACGCTCTCCCACATGGTCTCCTGCCTCAAGGTAGGTTGCCACAGCTTGCCTTTGTGCATGTACTGCTCTTGAGAGCATCACTGGGAGCTGCACATGCACAGAGACTGCAAAATTGGGACGTGGTGCTTTATTATCTCAGGCCATGTAGCCCACAAGCAGACTTCCTTCTGCCTCAGACATAAAAGGCTTTGTCGGGGGAAGAGGGGGATAGGCGTGAAGTGAAGACTTATTTTCTTCCTTGCTGTGAACACTTCATCTCTGCATAACACATGAATCTGTCTGTGTCCTTCCTAGAGCACTCTAAGCATAACGAAGCACAGTTTCTTGTTTCACACTCCCATCTTTGTTTATTTTATTTAAAGCTTTCACTTCAGAGCTTTGAGGCTACAGATCAAACAAATAAAAGGGAATTTGGAAGCTGCAATGTCTGATCTACATTCTGCTCAGAAGTTAAACTAAAAATTGCCCCCAAGCCAATACACAGGCATTCATTTTGGAGACCAAATGGTAGGATATAATACAGACAATTTGCCTCCCAGAAGGTCCGTATGAAGATCCTTGTTTATTTCTTCACTTAGCAGATGACAAAGTTAGTCTCATGACTAAGGCACTGGACTTAAGAGATCTGAAATTAAGTTTTCATATTTAATTTCACAGCTACCACATGCTCAACAAAATCAGTCATCGCTCCTCCTGTCAGTTGTCCATCTCATCCATTTGGACTACAAACTTTCTGGGACAGAGACACTGTGTCTTGCTCAGTGATGCTCCTATATCCTCCCTACCTACCCAGTAAAACCTAGGAACACTTCCAAACACATTAACACTATATGCCCTCTTT